GCCCTCCACCCGAATCCCAGGATTCAGTGGGTGGCTTGGCCACTGTCCGGAATCGCCTCCAGGAGAGTGGTATTCCTGCACGAGTTGCAGACACAATACTGGCTTCGCGGAGGGATTCGACAAACGTTCAGTACGAGGATAGATGGGCCTGCTATGCGCGCTGGTGTGTCGATAGAAGGATTGCAGATCCCTTTTCTGCAGATCTCGTAGCCGTACTTGAGTTCCTCCAGTCGCGACTAGATGTCGGCCTGGCCGCATCGACAGTCCGGGGGTACTCTACAGCTATCGCTGCCTTTCACGTCCCCGTCGACGGGGCACTTTTGGGTGCGCACCCATTAGTGCAGCGTTTTTTAGCAGGTGTGGACAGGATCCGACCGCCTGTCCGGCGGATCAGTCCCCCTTGGGAATTGTCAATCGTTCTTGATTGGCTGTCCGGTCCTTCTTTTCGGGATCTGTCGTCTCTCTCTCTTCAGCTGTTGAGCTGGAAGACGGCGTTCCTTGTGGCGGTAACGTCCGGCAGACGGGTAGGCGACATTCACGCAATGTCAGCCGATCCCGAACTAACTGTCTTTCACCGGGACAGGGTCAGTATTCGCCTGCCGGACTCTTACCGTCCTAAGGTCGCACACGCCTTCCACGTGACGGCTCCTATTGAGCTACCTGCTCTTTCACAGCCTTCCTCGTCGGGGACCACTACAAGACATGCTCATGTCTTGGATGTCCGCAGGACCCTTAAGTCCTATATCAGCAGAACTAATGGTATCCGTAAGGATAATCAACTATTTTGCTGTTATGGCGGTAGGAAGGCTGGCTCACCTGCGAGCAAACAAACTATCTCGCGGTGGATAGTCTCTACTATATGTACGGCGTACACGCTTTAAGGCAGGGACCCCCCTACCAAGTTGAAGGCTCATTCGGTTAGAGCAGTGGCTACGACACAAGCGTATGCTGCGGCTCTGCCCATTGAGGAGATCTGCTCCGCGGCTATTTGGAGCCAGCCGAGCACGTTCATCAAACATTACCAACTCGACAAACAATCAAGCGAGCGTGCTCGGTTTGGTCAGTCAGTTCTCCGAACTGGGCAAAGTTCTACATCTCTAGCCGATTGAGCCTTCGAGATTTTAGACCGCCCGGACCGGTTATAACACTGCTCAGTAACGGTCCGGATTTTATCTTCTACGGTCGATACAATACCAGCCATTACTAGTCGATAATCATCGTAATTGCACATGCACTCCTTCGATTACGGGGACCCTCTGGCCTAGCTCTGTGCGGGTTTATAGTCTCTCGTGATCTGTGCCCCCAATATCACTTGTTCAAAAAAGTGGGTGGGGTGGGGGGTGTGTGTGTCTCAAGTTCTCGATATGATGAGCCACAAAGAATGGCTCTTTTCATTGTGTATGGTCGATAACGCCCTGTCTCCAGCCCCCGCCTTTCGACGGTGGTGCCTCACGATAAGGTTGGTTCCATTTATTGAACTCTTGTTTATTCATTGAAATAATCAAAATACGATGTATTTTATGCACGCTTGTTGCTGACGGATGCCACTTCCTAGATTATCTTTAGGAGTCTATCTTGATGCAATAAGTGCCCCAAGGAGGATTTAATCTGAAAGAGAATTTTACAAACCTGTAGAGGTTATGAATTCTCTGATGAAATCCTCCTTGGGGCACGGCCACCCGCCTCCCCACATTCCGTCAGCATTAGACATATGGAAAGTGATTTGGGTGAGAGTTGCTTCCCTTGGCGTGACGCGCCGTGGAGGGTGAGGCACCTAAGGGTGGACGTACATCATACAAAAACAAAGTTTTTTGTGTGGTAACAATTTTTATTAAGGAAAATGGTTACAACTATGTCATGTAGATTTTCTTGAGCCAGGAAAATGCAATAAGTGCCCCAAGGAGGATTTCATCAGAGAATTCATAACCTCTACAGGTTTGTAAAAATCTGCACGCGTTGATGTTTTCACCGAGCATCTGAGGAGTAAAGGTTTTTCTCGTCGGGCGTCTCGGGCATACGTTAGTATGCATCGTGATTCTACCCAGGTGTATAATGCACATTGGGTTATTTTCACGAAGTGGTGTTGTAAACATCACATTCATTCGCCAGATAAGGTATCTGTGCAGGATATTGCTCGTTTCATGTCTCACTTACGAGAGACCCGGAAACTCTCCGGGGGTTCCATTGCCAACTATGTCTCTTCCGTTGCTACCGTACGGGATGTTGCTATGGGTACCAGTCTCTCAAAAGAGCCGGTGATTCGGGGAATTATCAAGGGTTTTCAAACAGCACAATCTTAAGAAGGGCCGTCTTCGGGCACCAGCCTGGGATCTTTCCCTAGTGTTGAAATCACTTACTGAAGCTCCGTATGAACCCTTGAGTAGTGCTTCGTTTCGGCATGTGACTTGGAAAACAGCATTTCTCCTCTCCTTTGCCACGGCGGCACGAGTGTCCGAGATTCATGCACTCGATGTCGCTAAAGTACGATTCGATAGGGGCGACGAAGGAGCGGTCCGCCTGGGCCTGCTCATGGGCTTCGTCGCCAAGAATCAGAAATTTGGTCAAACGAGAGAGAGAATTCACTGTAAGATCACTCAAGGAAATCTTACATCCTGCTGATACTGAGGACAGATCGCTGTGGCTGGTTAGGGCCCTTAAGTATTATCTTAAGGCTTCGAATGAACGCAGACAAGGGCGTGGCCGTCTGTTCATATCGTGTAACCCTAATCGCACTGTTGACATAATTCGCAACTTGATTGCGTTATGGCTTCGTTCCGTCATCAATCTGGCGTACCGGTCTCGGGGGTTACCGGTAGCGGGGTCAAATCCGCACGAGATCATAGCGCTAGCGGCAAAATTTGCCCTACACTCGAATATCTCTGTTCACAGAATATTAAGAGGTTGTTACTGGCGTTCTGACTCGTTTTTTGCCAATCATTACCTCAGGAAGGTTTCTGATGAAGACGTGGAGGGTTTGCACCGTCTTGGGCCGCTGATCGTGGCACAAGCGGTCATCTAAGGGGTGTGTCCAGCGCAGTTCCGAACTCCACAGGCGTCAGACCTTGCACGGTGGTCAATCTGGGTCGTCTCCAATGTTCCCACCGCCGTGGGTACAGGAGTGGGGGTCCCGCATACCAGCGCAGTCACACCACAGGTGAGGCGGCTTTTTGTGTGTTTTGTCCTTATTTGTATTTTGACAATTATGTATTTAATTGTCTGTCGTGTATTCCAACCTTGTGATACATGCTTACGAATACTGGAATTAGGTCACGCGCCTAATGCATACTTTAAGTATGATTGCTCGGGGATATACGGTCTGAATGAAATTAATTTCCGTCTTTTCGACTGTTTAACCTGATCTAAGATTTAGCTCACACAGATACTCTGTTCTCATCCGCTGCGGCGATGAAATACCTATCCAGTGGGGCCGTTTGGAGTCACCAATCGTTTGGCAATGACGATTGAGCCTTACGGTATGCGCTTGACAGTGCTTTGGTATTCCTATAGGGTAACGCCTAGCTAGGAGCATGCACATCGAGTGCTTCCGCCTCGTTGTTTACTTCCGCTGGTCGGAAGGAACACGAGTAGTCAGGTTCGGGTTGTAGGTGCTCCTCACCGCCTACTGTGGTAGTCAGCCTCAGTATAACAGTGGTAACGTATTACTTAATGTAATTTGTAGAATTTTCCTATTCAGAATATTCTATAAGTAATACGTTACCACTGGGCTGCTGCCCACCTGTCTGTCCCCCAAGCACTTGCTCTCGCAAGAGACAAGAGTGAAGGGTGTCACATGGCAGCTGGGTGGCTACGCACGTGCTGCATGAGGTAATTGAGATCTCTGTGGTAGATTTTGCTATAGCAGCAGTTGTGGGAGACAACAGCCTCGGTATAACATTGGTAACATATTACTTATAGAATATTCCGAATAGGAAAATTCTACAAATTTAATAAATTTCGTTTAAAATCCCTTTTAATATTGCTTTAATCAATTTTGGCGAAATCGTGTGTGAAGCAGTCTGAAGATCGCACAACTCACCGTTATTAACAGCAACCACGGTCAGATTACATCTATTGATGTCTTGAAACAAACTTTAGTTGACAGAGAATGGATACATATATCATAAATGCCATACTTTGACTCGTTAAAAGTCATATTTGTTATAGTTTTGACGATTCTATGTCAACACATAGTTCTCGCGATCACGTGTGTGGGAGCCTCGACGGTGACTGGTCAAACTGGTTCCATGTAAAAAATGATAACCGGCAATAGTGATCAGCTGCTTTGCTAAGGGTTATCATTATTTTAAATATATATAGTAAAAGCTGCAACTAAAATAACAAGATATTGGAATATATTATTTCTGATAAAAAAAATAGTCTCAGATACAATTTTTGCCGATCCTTGCATTAAAATCCTGTAAAGTTATATCATTGGGTGTGTCTTGGCCGAAACACCGGTAGATTCCAAGAAAACGTGTGAACAGCTGATTGCTGTTTCTGGCTTAGTTTACGAGAAAATACACAAGGTAATCTTAATCCATAGATGTAAAACAAAACCTCACAGAACAAAAATTACAATTTAAAGAGTAAATCAACATGTCGTGTGATTCTTTTTTTATCTCAAATTTTTACTGACCAAGTATCTCATCACCCATTCGTTAACTGGAATTTGCTGAAGGGGTGCGGTGTAATATTTCTCTGCGCATAATATTCAAAAAAAGGTTTTCTCAAAAATACTGAATCCGCTAGAGGGGTGTGTGCATTATACTTGGGTGCGCACTATACTTAAGAAAATACGGTACTATTTTCAATATGGCCACCATTACAGCCATATTGAAAAGCCTATATATGGCCATTGCTCAGCGACTTTTTGTCAATATGCAATTGAATAAAATTTGGTATGGAAGTTAGTGATGGTTTTTGTGTCAGGGCAGGTTTAAACAGCAGAGTCTGAATATTTGTGTATGGTTCCATTGATGTTTTTGACCTTGTGTCTGCAGCTGTCCGGTACCAGTGTATGGGCAGCTGGTTCGCCATGGTGGGAAACACTGGCTACACCTTCGCCGCCATCGCTGACACTGTCGAGAAGGACAGAAGAGAAAGGTTTAAGTGTATGGTGAGGAAGTTGACAAGTCTGTTTCGAACACCAGGATTTATCTTGTGATGATCAGAGGCTGATGTTCGGCCTAATATCTGCAGCAAATGACATTAACAATTCCAAAATTTGAATGCATACTTTTAAATTATTGCATTGAATTCAGTGTTAAAATTTGTCTGCATTAAAGTTAAACATTGACTTTTTCTCCTGCTTGAATTTGCCTGCTGTGATGTAGACATTGAAGAAATTCTCGTCACGGCAAAGTCCCAGTCTCCCCAATGTGATCAAACTGAAATATTATTGAATTGGTGTAAAATCATAAACACTCAATCTGCACTTAGTTTTTCCAACAATCTGCATCTTTCTGTGTTGGCCAGGTGATGAGACCTGAAACAATAACTGACTTATTTCACCTCTTGTACTATATCGGTAAATTCAGGGTATATATAACTCTACTACAGATGACCTTGAAGAACCAGAAGTCAGCTGACAACACCATCCGATGGGTCTTGTCCCGCTTCGCTGACTGCGGCAAACTCAACAGCATCTATGATGGCCCCGTCAGGCTGGTGCTGAGAAGAGGTGAGTAAATATGTTATCATCGCATGAATGGGGCTTTGAAGTGCATCTCTCAAGAGTGTTAGACATGTACAGGTCCTGGCTTGGATGGATCTCTCGACAGGGGGTCCTGGCAGTGTTAGACATGTAGGGATCCTGGCGTGGATCTCTTGGCAGTGTTAGACATGTAGGGATCCTGGCGTGGATCTCTTGGCAGTGTTAGACATGTAGGGATCCTGGCGTGGATCTCTTGGCAGTGTTAGACATGTAGGGATCCTGGCGTGGATCTCTCGACAGGGGGTCCTGGCTTGGATCTCTTGGCAGGGAGTTCTGGAGTGGATCCCTCAGTGTTAGACATGTTGGTTCCTTCAGTGTTTCTTTCAGCAGTGTTAGACTTAGTAACTCTCCTCCAGGGTGTCGTTGTACAAAGCGATCTTAGCACTAAGGTGATCGTAACCCCATACCTTAACATAGACTTACAACATTCGTAGCGCTAAGGTTGTTTTGTACAACGGCACCCTGGTTAGTGTCCTCCACAGTGTCCAATGTAGTGCCCGGTACATTTCCCTGCACAGTGTGTAGCACAATTTCCCTTGCTTCCAGTCCCCCCTCAGACGCTGTACATGACGTCTCAGTGCAACCTTCCAAGGAACATCTCGGGACTGTGGTTCACACAGGGACTGCAGTTCAGCTCCGACGTCACTGTCAACGAGACCCACGTCTACTACATGACTCGCAAGAATGAGTTTGAATTTGAGGAGACATACCTGTCCTGCCAACAGACCCTCGGAACCCGGTACCTCATGACCAAAGTCATTGTTGGGAAATGGTAAGCTGCATGGGGAAGTCAGTGCTGGGTAGATCAGTTTCTCCAAATGTGCCTGACTGTCGGATGATATGGCTGGAATATTGCAGATGTGACTCTAAATATTAACTCACTCACTCACTCACTCACTCACCCTGACCGCCGGAGAATGGTTAATTTTGTCTCCACAGTCAAATCACGGTTGGGTAGCCTTGTGGTTAAAGCATTATTGTCATGGCGAAGACCTGGGTTCAATTCTCCACATTGGTACAATGTGTGAACCCCATTTCTGGTGTCCCCTACCGTAATATTGCTGGAATATTGCTAAAAGCGGTGTAAAGCCATACTTACTCACTTACATCTCACAACTGTATATACCTCTCATGGTCGGGCTGATTATTTTCTTTTGATTAAGTTGATATAGTAAAGCATATAAACTTCACTTGAGTGGCACTGAGATCATAACCCGGTACTAATTCATTGCAGACAATTTGCAACTATTCTTTCACATAGATTCCACATAACTGCACAGAACATTGTGTAAATGAAGGAACAAGAGTCCCAGTCTAAGCAGACCCAATTCCATGGGCAGAGTTGTGTACCTTGGATGCAATATATGATGATGGGTTCAAACCCTGAGTTAACCCAGATCATGATTCTAAACCCTTGCTTTCACCAGGGTAGTAAATGTCTAAGACCTGCATCTCTCATGGCTTTCCTCCCACATCAAGCCCACACACCATGATATAACTGAAATACTGTTTTAGAGCGGCGTCACACCCAACTCAACACTCATTCTGTAAATGAATAAATAGTAACATGAAGACAGCATTCAACAAAGCTGTTTTGTTTTTCAATCACTGGTAATAAAGAATTTTAATTGTATCAAGTTTATCAAGACCTTACCAAGCTGAATTACATGCCTGTCTTCATAAGGAAGAGAATTCATGGATGTCAACTTCAACTCAAGAAATTGGCATCCATAAATTCTCTTCCTTATGTGCATCACGTATAAATGCCATTCAAAGACTTAGCATATTATTTAGTTAGTATATATCTGTTTCCGGAGTTATTTTACCCATATATATTGAAAGGTTCAGACTCTGTAAGACTGATGCAAATGTTTGTTTGACAAATCTACATCTTCTGCCCACAGTGAGGTGGACTTCGTCTGTTATGACATTCTTCCTCGGCATCACGGCATCGTACGCTACAGAGTGGGTAAGTGAAGATTTGTGATACTAAACATCACAGGGAAGTAGCACATGGGGTGTCCTCTCCCGTGAGTGGAGGATATCCGTTACCATGGGTACAGGCATACCAGTATATAGAGAATAGCCAATCAGGAATTACAGATCAGCTAAGTCACTTTGTTGTTGGAACTGCATCATCATGATCATATACGAAACTGTCTGTGATGACAACAGTTTATGCCATATTTAAGTATTTGCGATAATATGTTGACATGATGCTATGGGATTCTTTTCTGACAATGTAAACGATCCTTTTGCCTTGGGCTAGCCAATCAGCATTGAAGCAAAGGATCAGTGAGAATTGCTGAAAATAGTTTCCCTTATTTAAATGCCCCTTGGTCTGGTGGATAAAGCAAAAGATCTGTGGTGCGATGCTTTGGGGGGAAGGGGGCATCAGTGTTAAAACTGTGGCATGGCATCTCAGTGGGCTAGTACTATAAAACTTGCATTAGTCTGGACTGAGGCATTTGCAGCCCCACACACTCTGCACGTCACTGTATGAATGAAAAATATCTTGTACACGTTTCATCTCAACATCTGGGAATGTTTGTGTTCACACTCTCGTCCTACTCCCGGTAGTAATTCGGAGTCAAAAGGTCCCCAGCGTCCCATGATTGTCTTGAGAAAGGTTGACATCGGATGGTTATTATGTGTGATCTGGCTGATTGTCTCAACCTCTGTCTGTTCTGAACACTCTTGATTGTTTGTAGATTGCTTTGATAAAGTTGGAATATTGCTGACTTCGACATAACGCACTATTTACTTACCTACCCAGTATCCCAATCCTCAGGGCCAAGAAGTCAGCAGCAAATGCAGTGGATTTTTAGCATGCAAAACTTACTCTCTCTCTTCCTTCAACAGGGAAGCCGTCACGGTTAACAAAAGACGAGTTAGCGAACCCCAACTACCTGGAGCAGAAGTTCCGAGAGGCGTGCAGTTGGATGTCCTTCACCTTCAACCGAGATGACACGGACTGGAAGTATGAGGTTCTCATCTGTGAGTAATACTTCATCACCAACTTTCTCACTTCCATAGATTCATCTCACATGTCTGAATTTACTGTCGTAACTGCCAATGTCTAGGTGGCAGTCCTTCTATTTTAGATTTACCGATTTGACCCATTCATCGCCGTGGGAAAAGAAATTTATTTTAACTTGCCCTGGGAAAGGTTAGAAAGATATAAAGGTTAAAAAATCTAAAAAATGGTAGTTTTTTACTGATGAAATATATTGTTTAGACATGTTGAGAAGTTGAGATATAATCTAATCATAGTTCTCTGGGTAATCAAGATGACATCCATAGCGTCCCAATTGACTTGAGTGCCATGTTTCAGTGAACCCACCCTCACCTGTGGCCTGTCCGATTGCTGGTCGGTACAAGTTCGTCCAGAACGCCATGCACTGGATGGAGAAGTACGCCACCAGGATCCGTGGTGTGACGGACCGACCCCGTGTCCAGGTGGACTGCCGCATCACCGTGTCCGAGTTCAAGTCTTGCAGCCAGGACAAGTCCAAGATCGAGGTGGATGCCGAGTACTGCGAGTCTGTGGACTACCGAGGTCGACCTATTGGAGAATATGGTGAGTTTGTTAAGTCACTCTCAGTCAAGGGCATGAGTGACCCAGTAGGCTGACGATGCAATATGCTGTGCAGAGTTGCGTCCCTTGGGTGTGCCAGCCCCATGCACATGCTCGTGGGTTTTTCTAAAGTGGTAAACGTCCTGTATCCCGCTCCTTCCCCAACAAACTGACACGGTGCGATAATTGAAATACTGTTCAAAGCAGAGTCAATGCCAAGCTCACGATCCTTCCATTGGCATACTGTGTGTTATTCAGCTGGAGCTGATGTTGTGCAGGTGGACCTGATGTTGTGCAGGTGGACCTGATGTTGTGCAACTGGACCTGATGTTGTGCATGCTTTTTGTGTTGTGCAGATGAGGCAGACCACATTTTGACCTGTGTGGGCTTCTGGATGGAGGACATGAAGTCCTACCTCATCACCTACGACGAGGAGGACGCCATTTCCGCGTTCCGCTGCTGGGTAAGTAATCTCTGGGTCCTGGACAGTACAGTGTTTTGCAGCTTGCATCAAGGTTAAGTCTACGATCAACAAGTTTTGTTTACATCTTCATCAGTTGCTTTTTGTCATAATAGAGATGTTCACATAACACTTCATATAGATTTTTATAAGATTGTGTATGAAGATGATATACTTTGTGACCCGTGAAAATGAGGTTAGAGAATAGATCTTCAGCAACCCATGCTTACCATAAAAGACGACTATGCTAATCATAAGAGGCAACTAAAAGGATTAGGTGGTCAGGCTCGCTGACTTGGTGGATGCATGTCATCGTATCCCAATTGCATGGATCAATGCTCCTGTTATCAATCACTGGATTCTCTGGTCCAGACTCGATTATTTACAGACTACCATCATATTGCTGGAATATTACTGAGTGTGGCGTTAAACAACAAAGAAAAGGAAGAAAAAGATATCCTTTTTGAAGAAAGTAAAGTTTTTGAACCCCTGTGTGGTGTATTATAATGAATGATGATAGTGAACATTAATGCCCTTGTACTTAAACAATCATAATTAGGAACATAAGCTGCCATCATTACACAGGGCCTCAAATATGTTTTCAGATCTACAATACATCAGTGGTATTTCTCTTGTTGTATTTGACCCTTTGACTGTTCAGGTGTACGAGAGACTGAGTTGGACGGACATTGTGATGTCCCGAGCCCAGACTGCCCGCTGCCCAAGATCCCAGAGGGCCAACAGCTATCAGTTGGAGGGGACCGGCCTTAGCCTGGAGCTGTACGAGAACGAGAGACTCTGTGAGTACCGCCCTAGTAGCCATCAGTACAAAGTGACATTGATACTCAGTGGTATTAAAGCCCACTAGCTGCTTTCTATTTTCAGTCACATTTATATTTATTGATACAGATAGGTGTTAAAGCCCGCTAGCTGCTGTTGATACTTAGTGACCTTGTTACTTATTGATATAGATCGATACTAAAGCCTGCCAGTGGCCATCAACTCAGATACTAAGCCCTTTTATGTCCTCGGTTTGGGACATCATGAACAGTAGATGACATCATTTTCCTCAATGATGAAGTTATGTGACACATATCACTTCACTCACCAGTCAGCTTTGAGAATTGCTTGAATGCACATGTACAAATATAGTAAAGTTACCCATTCTAACGTGGTGGATGTTATTGCCTGACTTCTGTGTCCAATTTAGGGGGCACGGGTGGCCCAGTCGTCTAAGGCGCCGCAATTCGCTCTGTAGAGTTGCGTCCCTTGGGCACGCAGAAACCTATGATTGTCGGTTGGAATCCCGGTCAACCCCGATTACGTTTCTAGGTTTGTCAGCACCATACCCGTGCTCGTGGGTGTCACCGAAGTGGTTAAGACCATTGAGACCTGCATCACTTCGGGCTTTCCTCCCACATTAAGCTGACACGCCGTGATATAACTGGAATACTGTTAAAAGCGGCGTCAATCCCAACTCAATCACTGTCCAATTTCTACTGTCTCAATCAAAGCATTACACTGTAGAATGCCAGCACTGAACCCATGCAAAATATGATTGTCTTTGTTTTTTTCCAGATGACGACTGCCCACAGAGATTTGACCCCGGTATCGACCCCTACAGGAAGCCGACAGTCATCTACGTGTTGAGCAGCGCCACCTATCCATCACTTTACTTCCCTCTCCTCATCTCTCTGCTGACTTTTGCTTTGCTACAAAGGACATAACAATAAGAAGGCAATAGTTCCTTGCCACGCTCTATCCAGTGACTTACCTTCAACAGTGACCAATACCATTTTGTACAATAGCAGATCTTAGCCAACAGGATGATATCACTCCGGAATCCTTGATGGACTCCATGATGCTGGATAGTTGTCAACAGTGTGATAGTCAGGTATCCTGGTAAAGGTTTCTCTCAATGATATCCAATATTTGTCTTTAGGGTACCCTGGAGACAAATAATAATTGTTGGCAGATATTTGTCCCAAAACAATATCATTAAGCAAATATTTAACAGTTTTCTAAATGATGGCAGATATTTGTCACAAGAGTGTCCGGTTGAAAGAAATCAAACTTTTTACACTGGTAAATGAAGTTTACAAGATGTAAACTCTATGAATTAGATGTAAAGTTTGGATGACAAATATATGAGTTGCCATGGTTTCAAAGAGGCCGTACAGGAGGACTTCCATGATTAAAACTATTTCCTGCATATTAATTTGAACCCATGTCAAATGAAATGTACAAATATTTTGAAATGATTAACATTGATCATTGATAGCAGCAAATACATGTACTAACAAATAATGTTAGGATTTACCAATAGTGCAGCATAATGTGAAGTATAGTTAGTTCAGTTTTGGTTAGGGGAGCTGTAAGGCTCAGGTCTTGGTAACAATGGTGTGTTGAAGAATCAAGTAAGTTTACATTGGCAACAGATGAGGATGCTCGATGAGTAGTTCAATCACGAGAGTAGAGTTTTGATTTTATTCCTTCAGCATGCGTGATGATGTAGTTCATTTGTACATAGGTCATATGGCAATAATCAGCTCATGCTAACGCTGACAGTTCGTAATTAAGCTTGTACATAATTGTAAATATTGTAAATATGTTTTTGTTTTATAGATCAAATACAAAAAAATCATTGTTTCTGTATCTACTGCTTATATATCTTTAACATGGTTATAATAAAATGCTTTACAGTGATACTACTTCACAGTGATCCTATGACAGCAACCAACAGTCAGAAACTGTGAGGAGACTGTCACATGAGGAGATCTCCTCTCCTCTCCTCTCCTCTGTACTGCTGTGCCATAGCTTTGCAACTGCTTTGCAATATTTGACATCTACTGTTCATTAATACATAGCTACGATTCTGCATCTGGGTCAGAGACATTCTTGTAAGGTTTTTACTTTCTATCAGTTTCTTTGTTTTTCCAAACTTCCATATTTTGTACCTACTTACTATTTTGATGACAAATCATATCACAAACATTGATGTTTGTATGAATCAACAAAGGCATCAACAGTTTCTTTTGACTCGTCCATACTTCAAACAATTATCGCAGTTATCTTCATTTTCCATATTGACACAGACATTTATGCGAAATTGTTTTTCTTCTGTGTATATTCAGCATGCTTTGAGCATTCATCGGACGCAAAGCTACCATATTTTGCTAGCCGGACTTAGTGATAGACAAATAACATGTCTTTAGAGTCCTATTGTTGATGGTAAATAGTTCTGGCATAAGAATGTTTTAATATATTTTTTGATTGACTATGAATGTGTTGTCATGTTCAATAAATACTGCCACCAGCCTGTCTGTACACATCACTGTTCCATCAAGTAGGGTCACATATCTTTGACTTGTTGGGTATCGGTCACTTCACTGAGACAACACAATAAGTGTCTTTCTAGGAATGAAAAGACAAAAACTACTGCCTTTTGGATGAGTGGAAATAGAAACACAACAATAGTCTTTTTGACTAATTAGTTCAATATCAGTCCATGGTTTCATAAAGGAGATCTACCGTTATTAATCTCATTCAGATCTTTTACTCTGTGCATGAAGTGAGGTATGGTGTAAGCTTCTGCTCTTGATTGATCTTAGTGTTTTTAGAATCATTTTCCTTCTCTGCATCAAGGTCAAGGAAACTGTTGTGACCTTGAAGGTAATGTTGATCTGTTTGTGAACATATTTTTCTACCCAAAACATTTTATATGCCAGTTAATCAAGTATTTGTAATAAACTGTAATTTAAAAAAAGGTTTGGTTTTGTTATATGTTAATCATTTACTACTAAAAGAAGTTAACGACCACCTGATTCTTTCATATTACTTTGTCATGGCATGGCAGATTAACTATAGTAATATGAAAGAATCGGATGGTCTATAACTTGTGGGTTTTTTTTGTACTATAATATTATGTCATTTTTACCTGTTTCAAGTCCCCCAGGCCACAGGTAAATGTTGGCTTGAAGGGGCTTCACAATAGTATATGCAAGAGTAGTCTCCCTTTGTCAGGTCAGCACCAGTTCCCCTGGAAACTTTTTTTAATAAAATTTATTGTGCAAGTTTGCATGGATTTCCATTATCAGTTAACTGTCTTATGTGTTATTGGAGGATGTTTCGAAAAGTATGGTTAAACTGAAAAAAAGTTTGACTCTACTTGTCATTAAACTTCAGGGACTAATTTTCAGTTCTGGCAAGATGGTTTCCAGTCGTTCACAAACAACTTCTCTGATCCTTCGAAGTTTAGAAAGTCCTTCAATTAACAATAAAGCACAAAGTACATAGATCCAATGTCTCAATTTCACTATTACAACCGTACTTCCTTTAAAAAGACCGGTAGGCACTAAGTTGATGAGTCGAGGCAGGGTCTTTAGTAAATCATCATTACTTCTGGATGACCTGTTCTTGGAGCAGTGAGGAGCAGAGATCCCATCTCTAAATGGCCGCTGGTAATAATCACAAAAAGTTAAAGGGAACAGAGGGAGTGTAGAGTAACTGCGGTAACAAAAATCAGCACAAAGGCGAGAACTGAACATACTCGAAAACAAATTCTTGTTCCCTTTGTAACGAAATTTCGGATCGGTCAAACCCACAATCAGGGACCCCAGGTAGGACCGCCTGATAGCGGAAGGTCAGTGGTTGATCACCTGCCGTGTCATACCAAAAGACGTTAAAATATGTACTGTTGTTACCCTGCCTGGCGTTCGGCATAAGGGGGTGGTGATACAAGGACTGGTCGGCTCGGAGTCATGTACAATGTCTGAGTGGGGTGTTCATGGCATGGTATCCCAATTGGCTAGCACTATAAAACCGGCATTATTCCGGGATAGTGCAAGAGGGCACACCGGCAGCACCTACACATGCATACACACACGCCCGCAACCTACTTGCATGTCCCTGTATATAAGTGCAATTATAAGGTTTAACCTCACCTCTCCTTAACGCCCGCCCACAGAGTGGAAGGTCCGGGTTCTATCCCCGGCCGCGTCATACAAAAAGACGTAAAGAGATGGTACTTGTTACCCTGCCTGGCCCTCGCCATCAAGGGTCTAAAACAAGGGACTGCTCGGCTCGGAGTCAATATACTGTGTCAGAGTGTGGTATTCATGTTAAAGTGTTGCATGGTATCTCAGTGGGCCAGCGCTATAAAATCGGCATTAGTCCGCACAATTACAGGCAGAGAGAGAGAGAGTGCAATAATCTTTGACGCGACGTTAAATCCCATCTCACCTCACCCGCGACGACCATGAAGGACGCAGCTGTTATTGGTGATCATGTGCTCACTATATCCTGTACTGCGTTCATCGGAATGATCTCCGTCATACCGTTACTTTCCAATACGACAGAAAAAAATAATTAAACCGTAATGGAAGATAATGTCAACATGATCTTTGGTTTTCTGATTTGCTGAACCGACACATCACAGCCGAGGTTGACTTGGAACGTAGGGCGATGTTAACCATTCTTAAAGCTAGCTCACAGTCATCTCTGAAAATGCAGTCAAGCCTTGGGTTCAACTGGTTTTTCAGTGGAATAAAAATTACCCCATTTCACCTCACTTCACCTGGTTGAATGTTGGGATGCACAATTTCTAGCACCGTTACACCGTAAATGCACTGTTGTTTGTTTATTTGTTTGTTTGTGTAACGCCACAATCAGCAACATTCCAGCTACACGACGGGGGTCTGTAAATAATCAAGTCTGGACCAGACAATCCAGTGGTTGATATCGTGAGCATCGATCCACGCGAATGGGATACGATGACATGCATCAACCAAGTCAAGGAGTCTGAAGACCTATTCTACCCCGGATCTTCACGGGTCATAATGCACCGTGAGTGAGTATGGTTTGAAGCCGAATCTAGCAATATTCCAGCTATATATCATGGCGGTGGACAACAGAAATGGGCTTTACACATTGTACCCATGTGGAGAATCGAACCCGTGCGGCGTGGCGAGCGAACATTCGTAACGACTAAGCTACCCCACCGCCCCGTGAATGTACGGTAAAATAAGAACTGTAGGCGGAAAGGCGTATTGTGTGTATGTGCATACGTTAAAGTTTGACATTGGTTCACGACAACTGTTCAACATCGTGTTTTGTTTCTAAATATAGACGGCGATTCGCTTCAAGACGTGATGTACATCGCTTCCTCTAACACAAGTACTTTTTCATCACGTGTCTATATATCAAGAGGGGCGGTGGGGTTGCTTACTGGTTAAAGTGTGTGAAGCCCATTTCTAGTGTCCCCCACCGTGATATTGCTGAAATATTGCTAAAAGCGGCGTAAATCCATACTCACTCATTCACTTTATCAAGCGGCCTGTCGTCGTCCCTATTTTTCACATCCATAAAATAACAAACATTCTGAATATGTTTAAAGATATTTACACGTATACTTATTCCAGCATAGTTGTCATCAAACAAAAACTATGGTTTGGAAACCTAATTAGCATATGTTTCGTTTATTTTGTAAAGGGTGTCTTGCAACCATCGACTTAAGATCACTTAAGCAAGATTTCCGTTATCCGTGCGTGTTTGATGGAGTGGCCCAGTCGTCAGTGACGCCGCAATTGGCAGCACAGAATTACGTGTGCCAAAATTCTATGATTCCCAGATTCGTCATGATTCTGTTTCTAGGTTTGTCAGAATCAGCCTGTTGGAAATCTATGTTATTCAAATAAATAAAGCGATAAAACCGATTCCATATCCAATAGAAATCTCTGCGTAAAGCAGAGTCGATTGTACAATTCCGACTATATCATGAGCATGTGTTTAGGAATCACTATCGAATAGTAATTGTACCAGGCGTTCGCGAAAAGGTGAGCGCATCCTGCCCCACCGGTGGCACCCGTCTCAAACACATGCAAAGGCAAGTCAATTGTTCACCTGAAAAAAACATGGGAACATATGGTACAAGTCAAAATAGGGACAACGTTACTCCATATATCCACGAATGTGTAAAGGGTAGAGTTTAACGAAGTGAGTTGGCTCTCTGTATCCATGAACATTTATCATATAGATTCTTCCGTTATCGATGTGATAAACCAATCCGATAAACTAGGTATCACGATCCCATAAATATGCAAACGAGGTCGCCTAGCAGGAACGACTTTGAAGCTCTATACATCGATGCAGTGACTTCTTTCTCAATAAGCTATTAACTGACGTTCCCAATATACTCAGACAGAGTGAGTGCGAGATTGAATTCAGCGCGGGCGGGAGATGGGAAACAGAAAAATATACGGACAGGCTCACGATAATGTTTCCATAGGTTTGTTTGCACCGTACTTGAGTTCCTGGGTGTTACCCGAGTGGTAAACGTCTGAGACCTGCATCACTTCGGGCTTTCATCCAACATTAAGCTGAGTCTGTGATACAACTGGAATACTGTCCTAAGCGGCGTTAAGACCCATGAAATTCCGGATAGAGAATAGGTCTTCAGCAACCTATACTTGTCGTAGGAGGCGACTAACGTGATCGGGTGGTCAGACTCGCTGACTCGGTTGATGCATGTCATCATATCCCAATTGCGTAGATCGAATTTCATTATGTCAATCATTGGATTGTCTGGTTTGTTGTTTGTTTGTTGTTTCACGCCGCACTCAGCAATATTCCAGCTATATGTCGGCGGTCTGTAAATAATCGAGTCTGGACCAGACAATCCAGCATCAACTAAGTCAGTAAGCCTGACCACCCGATTCGGTTAGTCACCTCTTACGACAAGCATAATCGCCTTTAAGGACAAGCATGGGTTGCCGAAGACCTATTCTACCCCGGATCTTCACGGATCGGATTGTCGGGTTCAGGCTGGGGAAAGCAACCATGGGAATCACACAAGAAATATCTAAACCCTTTGGGATTAGAACCCGATCCTTGGTTTGACGAGTAACGGACTGCTACTATATATAAGTACTCTTGTTCTATCCTGTGTGGACTTCGGGTTAGAAAGGCCCCCGGCAACCTATGCTTGTCGTAAGAGACTCAATAGATCGGGTGGTTAGGCTCGACATTTGTTGTTGTTTGGGTCTCATCTCACTCAAACGGTGTAGGGTGTTGCTCATAATATTAACCACTGGTTTGTCCGGTCCGGAATCGATTATTTACAGTTCGTCGTCGCATAGCTGGAATGTTGCCGAGTTTAACAACAAACACACATGGTTCACGTTTGTTGGCTATAAAGAGTGTAAACTTTTAAAAAAGGTGTGTCGGCAGAAATTCAGCCAGCTTCAATGAAAATAAGAACGTCACGACTGTCTGGGTCGAGTTTCCTTTGAGATAATCTGGGCATGTTCTGTGGGAGACTAAAGGTTCTACTTCTATTTATCGCGAAACTGCTGGTGTTGACGCTGAAAAACTCCACACCGCCCATCTCCTTCCTTATATATCTGAAGTACTCGAACCGCTTCTAATTTAGTTTCATTTAAGACGCTTGATAACCTGATAATCACTGTCACGAACAGGAAGTCTGCGATTAAATACAAGAAGCGTGGTTATCTGTAAAAGTTTGAATTATTTCTTTAAGATTGACCGCCCTCATTAATCTTGCTCAAAATTGCCCAATTAACTCCCCGTTTGATATAAACTATACGAGGTTTTTTCAGCTAGATTCGCGTCTGTGACGTCAAATGCAGTATTTAAAATGCAGGAAATGAAAACCTGGCACCTGTATGTTAGAAAAAAGAAAACTTTCTTCTTGTAGATTTTATTTATTTTTCGACAGATTAAACTTTGAGTAAGGTTTAATTTAGCTGAATCGCGCGGGTACTCTATTCCGTGCGCACAGTCCTGGGAGGCGATAGGTTTGCGATCGACAGCCTGGCATGTGAAATGCACCTTGGCATTTGAGAAACAAACCAAGGTGTAGTTATATACACACAGGTACGCTATCGCCGGGCACCTGTCGCAATTGTAACGGCGATGCTCATTGGCCGGTTTCTGAAATATGCTAACGCGGAAGAAAAAAAATATATATACTCTACATCATGCACAGATACGTCCGGATTCATAGTCTAGTGTTAATGAAGTTAATTTGACATGCAGTTGTTTTTTTCTAAATCACCGGTATCATTTTCAATTGATTTCACCACATAGACATGTCTTGCACATACCGCATATAATGTTGAAGACTAGCCAATCAAAGACACTGACTTGACTGACATTGGAAAGTGTTTCGACTTCAGTGTCACATACTGAAAGTTGATAATTGTTGTACCTGACAGGTGAATTCACCTTAATTAACCAAGGACAGGTATACCCCAGCGGGTGGGTAGGTAATTTTGAAAGGAGCGTGATTGTGTTGACGCACCTGAGTTAATCATTGCTCCAGCCCCGCCCAACCGTGATCGACATACGCAACTTCCGTCTTACCTCAGGTCGGCCATATTCTATGAGCGAGGATACGTGACGGCAACAACTATTACCACAGAAAGGGATCGAGGAGACACTGACACATATCGGAGTTTAGGTTCACAAAAGACTATCAGAAATGCCTATATTTGGTAAGAAAAACAAAAGTAAGGAGAATTTGACACAAAATCAACAATCTCCGTCCGATGAAGCGCCCCGCCCTGCGGGTAGCCCCGAAACAAATGGAGGTGGGAAAGTGGCGAAGGACAACTCCCCTGCTCAACCACAGCCTAGGCCCAAACTCGTGTTTCACTGTCAGCTAGCACAGGGCTCCCCCACCGGTATCATACAAGGATTTACCAATGTGAAAGAACTGTACCAGAAGATAGCAGAATGTTATGAGATGCCTGTGTCAGAAGTAAGTAAAATACTTGGTGTATATCTTTATATATACACGACCGGTGATTGTAATCCACACAGGTAGGTACAGGTAGAATTGTTATAACGTACCTTGAATGTACCAGTGTGCATACATAATTTGATTATGAAAATGAGGTGTACTTGAAAGATAATACTGGTGATATGTAGACAGGTGAAATTCAGGTGACAGGGAAGGGTGTGTCATTGTCTTTGGTAGATACGGTGACACAAAGGTAGATATATGTAGATGCTGTTTGTACTTACACAGCCACATTGTAACTTAAGGTGCCAATTTCTTTGATGTATGACTCAACAGGTGTCTAACCAACCCCGGTAACCAGAAAACACACAATCCAGGTAAATCACATAAGGCCCGTACCTTTATTATATATGGTTTGTGCAGGTGGTAGTCTGTAAGTAACGGGGCAGTCGGGTAGCCTAGTGGTTAAAGCATTTGCCCATCACAGGGAAGACCCAGGTTTGATTCCCAAACATGGGTACAATGTGTGAAGCCCATTTCTGGTGTCCCCTGCCGTGATATTGCTGGAATATTACTAAAAGCAGCATAAAACCATTTTCACTCACTCAAAGTAAGTAACATTTTGTACCTGTCTAAAAAACACAGGTGAGAAATCTACTAGCTCAGGTAGAATAATTCATCCAGATAGGTTTCTCCCTGGCCACTTCAAGGCAAAGCGTGGTTGTGTTATCACACATCGGCTTGCATATCAGAGGTGATTACAGTGTTTTTGGTGATTCAGTAACAGGTGGTAACAGGTGATATCATTAAACAGGTGCATATTGAAGTGCATATCTGCATTTTTATTTCTCATACACTCCCACCAAGTTGTGTTATTGATTTTAACAATGTGTGGCAATAAAAAAGCTGAATCACTCAGTGTTTGAAATAATTTTTAAACCCCAAAAGACAGTCGGGCAGGTGACTCATAAGTGTTGCCAGCCCATCTTCTAAGTTACCTGCCCGTTTTCAGACATTATGAATGTTGGAAAGTCGCAAAAATAATAGACAAATGGCATCATGATTCGGTTGAAATAATGCAGTCAATTACTTGAGAATGTATGAGGAGTTATGATAAACTGAATATATCTCCCAGACAGTTGGGCAGGTGGAGGAACATTTCATGCAGCCTGACAGAGAAGTTACCAGCAGTGGGCAGGCGGGCAGGCACTTATTTTGAAGACTGGGATCACAGGCTATGTTGTGTTCAGAGTTTAAACTTCAAGTATCATGGTCCTTGTATCCCTATCATGGCAATTGGGTGGCCTAGTGGGTAGAGTGTTTACTCATCATGCAGAAGGCCAGGGTTCAATTCACCTCATCAGTAAAGTGCTCAAAGCATTTATGGTGTCTTCCAAGTTGGGATATTTGTGGAATTTTGTTGAAAACCATACTCACTCATGTAACCCTAATTTTAATAAAAGTTCATCAGTTAGTGGTCCCTAGACTATGCTGTAGAACAATGCCTCAATGACTGGGCAGCCCCCCTTAATTTCTAACACTGCTATGGATATTTTGTAATTAGTCATAATCGACCACTCACCCAATGACAGGGATGACATTAATGGTCTTTGTTGTTCCATACGCTTCAGGATATTGGATACGCACCAATAACTGTCTTCCTTTCCTTTTCTGACCATTGAAGTTATAGGGAGATTAACAGGAAAATGTGTCATCAACATTTTCTCTAGCATGTTTTCATCTGTGGTACTGGACCCACTATGACTACCACTTCCCAGCTGTTGGTCTGCTGTTAATACTGCATACTGCTTGATAGTATTCATAGTATTGTCGCAGAAGAAACTGTGTCAAGGGGAAAAAATAACACTACAGTGTGTTTCGTGCCCTTTTTTTCAGTATTATTTGCTCAACAAGTGTAGGGGTGGTCGGGTAGCCTAGTGGTTAAAGCGCTCGCTCGTCACGCCGAAGATCCAGGTTCGATTCCCGACATGGGTACAATGTGTGAAGCCCATTTCTGGTGTCCCCCGCCGTGATATTACTGGAATAATGCTACAAGCGGCGTAAAACCATACTCACTCACTCAACAAGTGTAACGGGTGCCCAGTCGTCTGAGGTGCCGCAGGTTGCTATGCGGAGTTATGTCCCTTAGTCATGCAAGACACCTATGATCATGAGTTCAAATCACAAATTACCCTGATTGTTTCTAGGTTGTCAACACCATACCCATGCATGTGTGTTTCAGTGGTAAAAATTGTTAATGTTACTAAGGCACTGTTAAAAGCAGAGTTAAACCTCACTCACTCACTCACGTGAAGAGCTGACAGGAATATTGATAACGGGGGCAGATGTTACTGAGGCTCTGTTCAAAGCAGAGTTAAACCTTACTCCCTCATCCCCCACTCACGTATATAGCTGACAGGAATATTTATAACTGGGGTGGGTTGTGTATCTGAGGTGAAGGTCAACTCTCAGTTTGGTCTGGCTGATTAGGTGCTAACTGATAATACTGTAGTACTGCTGATTGCAGTGTAGAAGTCCACTCCCTCCATGTAAGCAATGCTCATGGCCGGATTGTTAGTTTATTTAATTCTACTCCACACTCTGCAGTATTCCTGAAAAGACACAGCGGCTTGTTTATGATTGAATCTAGACCTTACAAACCAGTGGTTGATAACACATAATCAACCAAGTCAGATAGCTTGGCCTTCCGATCCAGTTTAGTTGCCTCTTCGACAAGCAATAGAATACCCCAGCCATGTCCCCATGTTGAAATGATTAACATTGGGATGGGTCATGCGTTTTTGATGCGAAGTGTCCATTCTGGTGTCACCAGCCGTGATATTGCTGGGATATTGCTTGAAGTGGCGTTAAAACATACTCACTCACTCACTCACTCACTCACTCACTCACTGCAGTTCATCACACATAGCTGTAAAATTGCTGATGGGGCAATATTCACTCACTCACTCACTCACTCACTCACTCACTCACTCACTCACTCACTCACTCACTCCAGCTGTAGACACTAGTTGTGTTCTGTCAGCTGAATCAATCAGTATTCATTATCACCAGCATGGAGTCATGTCACGATCTCTCGGCTGGCATGATGAATACTGAATATATACACCATGGTTGTTCCAGAAGATTCAGACACAGTGTCCACATATCTGTTTAGGGGCCGACAAACAAAGAGTTTTAAATTTGTTCATTATTTTTTAAAATATTTTTTATTGTTTTCCGTTCGGTAGCAGGGAGTGGGTTGGGGAGGATTGGCAGAAAGGAGGAGAGCAACCAAGTGGTCTGATGGGGCTCATGTTGAACCAGATGGGTGGAGTTAGGTCCCTTGCTTGTGAGTTTGAATCGTAAGCCGATCTTGGGTTTATTCTTGTCACCCCCAGACCCATGTATGGAGACCGGGAGGTTTCACTGAGGGGATAAATGTCTATGGCCTAAGTGTTCAAAATAAGCGCTGCCCTTAGACCGTTGCAGGTACATCTCCGTGTTTAAAATTTGTATGGGCTGCAGTAAATTTATGCAGTCGATTTATCTGTCACTATAAATGCTACAAGCTGCAGTTGTTTAAATGAGAGTTTAGTCAATATTTGCATGCACTTCCTGGGTTAAAATTGGTCTACACTATCCCATGCTTGTCACGCAAGGCGACTAACGGGATCGGGTGGTCATGCTCACTGACTTGGTTGATTAATGTCCTCATATCCCAATTGCGTAGATTGATGCTCATGATGTCAATCACTGGATTGTCTGGTCCAGACACTTATTTATAGACCTCTGTCCTGTAGCCAGAATATTGCTGAGTGCTGTGTTGAAAAAAGGACGAAAAAAGACCTGAGTTTCAATTAACTACCGGTAGTTTTCCAGGACTCATGATGTTTATTTTTCATGTTTATTTTCATGTTTATTTGACATGATGCTGAGCTGCTACAAAAGACACTGTAGTCTAAACTCAGAAGTAAAGACAGCCAGGGAGGGGAAGTAACTCTTGTCATCCCTTGCTGAGACCCAGTGAGGGTCTTGTACAATTACAGATTTCTTAACAACTATTTCAAGGCAGTTCAACAGAATATGTGTAAGAAACATTTTGCAATTTAAAACAGCCCTTGAGGTAACAAGATCATATTCGTGAATGCAGCCAGGATGTTTTTAAAAAAACCAAATTAATACCTCTGGGCAGGTTATGATTGATGTGTTTTTAATCTTATTTATTTTCTTATACATGTATCCTTGGGGTCTTTGAGAAACTTTGTGCACTTTAACCTGTTAAGTACACTTACCACTTCCATGCTATTTGTCATGGTTGAAGATGGCTTTTTGTGTAGGTTCAATACTTATCATGAAGATATGACAATGTTATAACTGGCAAACCAGGATTCCACACAGTTATCGGAGTGACTTGAGTTGAACTAGGCCAGATCATGAGAAGAAGAAATACCTTGGTAACAATGATTATACAGGCAGTTACTTTGATTGTTGTGATTTGTTACTTTGTGTGTGTGTTTTGCCTGGGTTGAATAGTGTATATTTATATATCTCACCCCCAGGGTATAACACTGTATGTTAATGTATCTCTGTGTGTATTGAATTATCAAATCCCATTCTCGCAGGTAGATAGGTTTGTTTTGATTGTTGTTTAATGCCACACTCAGCAATATCCTAGCAATATGACGGTGGTCTGTAAATAATCAAGTCTGGACCAGACAACCCAGTGATTGATATCATGTGCAACGGTCAATGCAATTGGGATATGATGACATGCATCAACCAAGTCAGCTAGCCTGACTACCCGATCCCTCTTATGACAAGCATAGTAGCCTTTTAGTCAAGCATGGGTTGCTGAAGACCTATTCTACCCCAGATCTTCACTGGTCAGGTGGATACATATGTATAGAATTATCACACCCCTTCTCTGTGATAGATGCATGTGTACTGAATTATTTCATCACCCTCCCATGTATATAAAGTGAATTGAATTATCTCACTCTATCTGCATGGTAGATAGA